TTGAAACAACTGTAAACGAATATCGTCTATAGGGAACACTTTTTCCTATAAAGTCATCACCGCAGGTTTCCTTTCAACTAGAAGGAAAAACCTAATTATGAATCATTTGTGTTTGTTTAGAAGTTCTGATTGGATAGAAAGTGTGGTGACATTTTTGAATGGTGCGCTGGGGGTTACAGTGACATATCTGAATGTTTTTGCTATGGGATGACTGTTGCAATTTTAGTTTTGCCGGATCAAACAGTTTGGGAAATTTGCATTTTAATGAACGCATAAGGAAAGAAATTGGAATTGTCTTTTCTTTTCACTTCTTTTTTTTAATTTTGGAATTGTCTTTTCTTTACATTAAAAAAAACCCCCCACTGGTAGCTTTGTCCCGGTTACCGTATGCTATAAGTTTTGTCATCGTGTTCGTCTTCTCTTTCCGCAATTACTTCATAGTTTACTGTTTGATTTAAATGTTTGAAATTAAAGCAAAGCGCTGATGAAATACCAATAAGTTTTAAGTTCAGGAAATGTGCTGGCCAATTTCCATTTGACTATGAAAATGTTTCGAGAAAACTCTAGTACTATGATCAACAAGTGCAAAGTGCCCATTTGTCGATATTTATCAAGTAAGAAATTTTCCAGTTTTAGAACTCACATATGACATTGTAATGACCGCTTGTTCGAGTTAGCTAAGAAATTTGCACTATAAGAATAACAAACTTAACTGCAAATGATATTTTTTGAACTGATAACCCCAAAACACCTTTCATTGATTTACGCCATCCAAATTCATCAAATCATTTCCCCTATTTCTTTCCGAATTGAATAAATTGAACTTTTCTTACTGTCTAATTAAAATATATGGTACGGATAATGATACTACCATTCAGATAACCAAGCAAAATGTATGGCTTTCTTTAGTCTGAATGGTATGATGCAGGTTGTCAACATAGTAGGTATAAGAAGGTTGCGCTCCGTCATGACATATCATATCATATGTCAGTGCGTTTGCCTTATTTTATTCTTCTCTCAACATTTTAATAGCATTCATTCTCCAGGTGAGGTTTGTTTTACGAAAGTAAACTTAAAATGCTAGATGTTGAAATAATGACGGAGTGATTTAGATAGCAACTATACCCTGGAACAAATGCTAAATCTATCACAGTTCACAGAAACTAGAGAAAATTCAAATTTGAAATTGCGAATCTGTAACATCCCAAAAACCAATCAGTCTCAGAAAATTACAATCATTTCACTTAGTGTTGAGTCTGATTAATTTATTTTTCAAAAAAAAAGGAAAAGAAAAAGGATTTACAGGCTATTGTCGGGTTGTAACACATCAAGTTGGATAATTAAGCTCAAATCTAACGCTTTTATTCATTAAGTTGAATAACGAAACCCAAGACCAAGGCAATCCAACACCCTTCTTCATTAAGTTGAATAACGAAACTTAAGATCAAGATAATCCATGTTCTTACGCTAAAGGCTATATGAAAAATTATCATCTCATCGCAAATAGCCTCTTAAGTAACTGTTCTTTTTTTAATTTTTGTACCTTAAAATTTTGAGGATTTACTATATTTTATCGATACAAATCAATTGGTTAAATAATTTTAGAACAAATCGCGAAATTCAATAACTTTCCGTTATATCTATTAATTGCCGAAAGTTAATCTTTCAAATTTTCTCAATAAATAAACATACGAAAATTATTTTTAATTAACCTATTCCTTATTTTGATCCGTGGTACCGCGAAATGGAATGATTTTACTGTTTAAAAATGAAGATAAGGTAGACAGTGGTTGCTTTTATGAGGGATTAACAAGCATTTTTTTTTTTTAGCTGGAAATTTTTATCCTATATTCATATTTATCGGCTAATTTTACTTTCTAACCGCTCTGTTGTCTATAAAACTATCATTAGAAAAATTTCATTATAACAAAGTTTGCCAAATAATTTCGCAAATTCACATAAAACACCGGAATCAAAGCAAATCCAACGTCATAATAAGCTATCTGGGAAAGATTCCTGCAATGCTACTGAAAATTTCGTTAACCTTTTGCACTGCTTTTTGGGATTTCAAATAGAAACAAAAAAGGTCAAATTATTGCGATTACTATATCATTATCATATATGATCCATAGATCTAAACTATCATATGATCTGTAAATGTAAACTATATGATCTAAACGATCTCTAGCTTTTTTCCATCCATCCATTCCGAAAAATCCCGATATTTTAATAGCTGAAATTGAAATTTCGCATGATTATAAGTTGTAACTTTCAAATTATGATTTTTCTCAAGTGTACCAATAAATTCTGAATATATGATATTAATATTTTGGAATTTATTTACTTAATAGACAGCATGTTTGCCATTTCAAACTAACTTTTGCAAGTGTTTCCTTTTTCTTAATAATCTTTCAAAGAAATTTGATTTGTAATATTTTTTTAGCTCAAGTTTTTTTTTTTTTGATTTTAAATAAAAGGAAGAAACAAAAAGAAGAAGGAAGGAATACTAATGAGTAAAATTTTTGTTTATTTCTTTAATAATATTGTAAACAAAATACAATTTTGAATTCAAATTCAACTAAGTAGTCGAATGATTAAACAAAGAAAAGGTTGAGAAAAAGAAAACTTTTTTCGATGAATCATTTAAGTTTTGAGAAATTTCAAACATTTACAATTAGTTTAGACTTTTATTACCATTTGTAAACAATAAATTGAATGTTTAGTTGAAATGTTGCGGAAAAAATTAGAAACTGAAAGTGGAGAATTTTTTTTTTGTTCCAGAAGGTTTAAGAAAAAAAAAGGATTTCTTTTTTTTTAAAATTTATTTGATAATATAACTAAAAAACTGGAAATGCAAGTGAAAAAAAATGCATAAGTTTTTAATTACAAGTGATAAACTGTCAAATTGACATTCGGGGAATTAATTACAGATTATAATTTTTAAAATCATTAGTAGTGGAAAAATTGAAAATTCAATCAAATTCCAGTAAAATAGCTACATTTTGATTTTATTTAATTCCGAATGAAAATACGTCCAAATGATAGGAAATTTTAATTTAATTTCTAACATTTCAAAATCTGAACAAGTTTTTAGAGGAATTCAATGATTGAAAAATAACTTTTCCATAAATTACTATTGCTAGTAAATGCTATTATACTACCAATATATTTCAGTACAATGAGAAACTCTCAGCATCCCAAAATTTTAATCTAAATCTTTTGAAATTCCCGAATAAAAAAAAAAAATAATAATATGGTATAGATCAAAGATACAACATTTCGAATCATTCCAACCGGATAAAAACATTTGAACGGATCAATAACCAAACGTTTCCCTCACATATAGCTATCGGTTTTTGCATAATAAATACCGTATATCAGCGGGAATTGTATGTATGAGCAGTGTTCGAATATGTCATATTTATTACAAAAAAAAAGGAAAATTAAAAAATAAAAAATTAAAAAATCCGACCTTCGGTTGTTGAAGTGTTAAAGTAAAAAAGAAAAATATGATAAAAGGTGAAAGGTTATTTGTAGCAGTTAACTGAACGATATAATGCTTTAAGAAGATTGAAATGAAATGCTTCATTTTGAAAAGTTACATTAAAAATTACTGTCAAAATTATTCGAAACTTAATTTTTTTAAAATTTTTAATAGCAAATATTAGCAAACAAGTGGATGAACAAAATTAAGAATATTTTGAAATTACGGTACATTAGTACTAAATCATTT